TCTCAGTAGCAACCACAACCGTTTGGTGAGGTACGATTGCAGAACCAAAGGAATAGAATACCAAACGCACAGGGAATACCCGAAATGTTGTCCGTTAAATTATCATTACGATCCCGTTTTGCACGGATGCGCGAAAGGCCGAGTTATCGAAGAACCTGTAGGATTCACTGTTTTAAACATAAGCCTTTCGCATTGTCCTTTGAAAACTCACGCGATTGTTGATTATATCACTGCAAATACAACGACTTTTGATAGTGAATTGAAGGTGAGCTTTGACAATAATACTTTCGATTATGGTACTTACTGCTTGGACGAGACGAAAAATAAATCAAGGGTGGTCAGGGTCTGCCAAACGTACGAAAGCACGTGTAAAAGGAGTTTCGACGATAATAAAGTCAGGTGTATTAGGAAATGTTGCCTCGATGGTCAGATTTATATAGGCAATACTTGTGAAATAGCTTTCGAATACGGCGTTGATATAAACCACACTAAGATCAAGCAAAGCAAAGGTAATAAATACATCGCTCAATATCAAATATTGTGCTCGAGACTAATCATTTTGTTTTCATAGAGAACTTCGCCGTAATCCAATCTCACGTTGCGAATAAATATATAGCTAAACCGCACCACAATTGCGAAGTCGATAAGATCGGAGATTTGTCTTGCATCTCAAAGAACAGTCCTGTGACGTCCAATTCAAAGGACGCGCCTTACTGCACCGAAATGCACCTTAGCAAAAACGTTTCCATCCAGAGATTCTTCCTATTTCTACCAAAAACATTACCGCTGACGGAGTCTAAGCTTAAAATAAACAGCGTCGGTTTAGCTATTTCGTGCTTCTTCTTCCTGCTGACGATGGTCCTCTACTGTTTGCTACCTGACGCCCTTCACCTGTTCGGAAAATCCATCTTATGCTATTGTTTCATAACGTTCCTAGGCTACCTGACCTTATCGGCCATGCAATTCAACAATAAAAGCGTATGGGATAAATCATTCTGCCTGACAATCGGTAAGGACATACACACATACATCTTTTTTATAATTAATAATTTTCCATTATCGAAAAAGTCTTTATAATTACAACGGGGCGGGTATCAATTACGCAAACCCATTTGAATATGCAATTCGAAATTACATAAACATTTCGCAATGATTGGTAAATATCTCAGTAATTATCATTATATCGATAAATATTTTTAAATAACATTTTATTTAGAAAACAAATATATCTTTGCAGTTTTAACTAATTTCAAAATACATTTTAATTAACACTTAATCAAATTTAACAGTTAATTAAAACATTTTCTGTTACATTTACTTTTTCAAATTCAAATTAATTAATAAGTCTTTGCAACTTTATCACATAGCAAATTAAATTTACATCTTTATAACAAACAATAATACATTATAATCAATCTAATCGAGAAGGTTTTTAAAATACTTTGTGGATCATATACCACATAGGCAACTTTATTTACACGTTATAATTAAATCTTCGTAACATCTTTCTAACAAATAATAAATTCACAATTTCTCTTTAGTTTTTACGTTCTTGAGTTTATTATGTAATGTGGCAATGAAGCCGCAAACACATAATTGCGTAGTAGCCAGGAAGCGAGAAAGCAATTATGTACGATTCATTTCAAAATGCAGACTAAATATCGTTGCGTTCGGAACGCCGGGCTAAGTTATTGTATGCAATTATTTAATGACTTTACGGCTTGCGACACATTGTTTGACATTTTAAGATGCGTGATTTTAAGCCAAAGCGTATTTTATTTTAAAATTCTTCTTGTTATTTACTCAAATCAAAATGAAAAGCCTGAGGCCATCAGGACTATTACATTTAAAAATATGTTGAAATTCTAATAAAGTAAACATATTATAAAACAACAATTATAAGTTGTAAGGATTATCTTAATTATGGTTCAATTATATTGCATTTTTCTGTAATAACAACTGATAATTGGTTGTTCATTTGCATGAATCAGTAACGTGTTATGTAATAGCATCGGATATGCGATTAATTTAATGTTCGGATGTTGTGAAAAAAATATGAATAATAATCAAGGTAATGAAAATCATGGCAACAACAATTTCATGAGTGCTTTATAATAATAGTTTTATTATAAATACTTTATTCGATGTTTAATAACTAACAAAATTAAAACAAAGTCTGAAGATGTTTTCATTTGAATGATAAGTTTTATCTTTTACTGTAGTTATTCATAAAAATACACCTACAAATAGCTTAATTATTTAATTGGTAAAATTGAAATATTATATTTAATTCACAACTTAAGTGTGAGTACGTTAAGAATTTTGAAAGGTGATGCAATGTACGTTTTTTTGTGAAGTTTAGTGGATCGGATGTTAAAAGTCGATGGTCGACTGGTTATAGCTCACATAAGCAAACACAAAAAACAAGTTCCTTCCATTGCTAAGAGTATACTCTTTGAGTACATTTGATAAAACAAGGACAAGGAATACGTTATTGAAAAATTATTGCGTCGTGTTCATCGTTTCTCGCAATGATTTATTTCTTATCATGTAGATATGTTATTGGTAATTTAGTTGTAGCAATTTATAGTAAATAAATGGTATGTACTAATTATATGCACGAACTAGCAACGAAGAATACGACATTCAAGGTTACAGCAAGAAATTCACACGGAAACGGTCGTGCTAGAAGTACTGTTCCGTAAACAATAACAACATATGAGAGACAGAAATGCAGATTTGCAATCAAAATTTTAAATCAAAATAATTATTACAATCTTTCAAATTTATAATAAAACTATTTGCATTAACGAATACCAAAAGACACGTGTAATTAATATGTGCATTTTTTCAAGAAGTTTCTTTCTCAATTGACCTTGCAATTCATAATCTCTTAGACGTATGAATTGTTTAATATTTATAGTGATCAGTCACCTATTTTAATTTTTTGCAATTAGCTAATAGAACAAAAAGTGTTAGCTTTTTTATTCTAACAGAATATACGCTTCACATGCAAGTTATTTTTTATACGATCATTTACTTAGAAATTAACTGCACCCTCTTATTCTATGAAATAGCGATTAGACATTCGGATAATTTAAATATACAGTGGAGCCTCGCTTAACTGAAGTATAGTGAAGTACTCGTATAGTGAAACATATTCAAAAATACAAATAATATGTGTACACAAGTTTTTAAAATGATGTAGAAGACACAAAATCCGGGATTTCTCTTCTCATCGTCACTCATTATACGAAATGTCGCTCGTTAAGCAAGTCATTTTTCTTACAATTCATTTTGTTCGTTAAGCTAAATGCTCGTTATGCGAGTACTGTACATTAAGTCTATTACTATCATATACTGACTTTGGATAAGCTAGTAAAAGAAATTGTTTTCAAATTGCATTACCTAGTTTCACTATTTATCGTAAATACTTTTAACGTTATCAAGCCGTAACATTTCTACTTGTTTTTGTACTTATGTCATTTATTTTTATCCAGACTAAAATATGCAAACAAGATATTTTGTTTGTTTTCATGTTATAGACGTATTCTTGTATGAAATTATCTTGTTAACTAAATGTATTTTTAAAAATTAGAACATTCCAATGTTTTGTTCATTTGCTAATTATATTATTTCCTTGTTAACATTCCGGTTAATTACTAATGTATTCCGTTTCATTTCAGTGTAATTTAAATTCATTAATAAACGTGCTCAATCAATTAATTACTGTACATGACTTTACCAAATTAAAATGAATGAAACGTATTTTCACTAGATTAAAATATATAATTATCTATTGTCATTGTAATGATAGTCACATGTTCAAAAACAATGATATCTAAATAATTAATATTATCTATTTGTTAAAACTTTAAAAACTTTAAATTTCATTGCTTATAAAAATATTACGAAATATCTTAAAATATATTTAAACATTATGAAATAATTTGAATGAAAGACCCACTAAAGTAAATCCGTTTCACAAATATACAAATTAACTTATTTTATTTGCTTTGCTATTAGCAGATTTTATTTGAACATAAAGTGTTAATATATTTACGATTTTTACTCCTGCAAAAATGTCTCTGTCGATTCTTAGATTATATTATACAATAAGAATTATTCCAGATATGATCCAGGCGCGGTCTGGCGTCTGTTTATTCTTTTATTTAGTTATAACAAAATATAAATACGTTTTATTTTTTGTATTTATGTAATTAATATTTCATTTCGTTATTTCATTAAATAAGTAAATAATAGTATTTCATAATATTATGAACGTCGTTATTATAGTAATTGATAGTAAATGTAAAATTGATTGGGTAAGGCAAAAGTAGAAATTGTAGAAGTTTGTTTACGATGAACGTACTTTGTTGATTCATCGAACAATTATTTCGATAACAATCGTTCATACATTTAATGAAAACATCCGATTCATCGACGCTATTTAAATTCACCTGGTGTAAATAAACTGCAAGTGTATCTGCAATAAGTAGGTCATCCGTCTGCGTGTTTTAGTTAAGGCCACAATGAAACTTGGGATAATTGGGGGGACTTTTGCAGGCGTATATGTATTGCGACATCCAATTTCATAATGCGGATACGCGTATTAATAATAACGTAAACAAAACAAAAAATAACGACATTTTAACCGCAACATATTTCATATTTTGTTCATTAATAATTTAATTTGTTAATGAATATGATTTTTTTTTAAACGTATAAAATTTCTTGATGCGATGAATACAAAAGTAATATTGCTTATCTAATCGTCGGATATAGATAAATCTAGAAGTTTGAATGTATTTATTTAATTTTAAACAGTTTAGATGATCGCAGTTCGGTTGGAAACAGTGCTTGTATATTTTTTTTTATCTAAAATAAAGATAAAAGAAATGTTTTCTATCTGGTCAAGCAGACCGTGTAAACAATGTAAAAATAAAACGTTGATGTGTGAAACGTGTTAATGTTGTGTTAATCGGATAATTAATTAATAATTATCAATAAAATTTATCAATAACAGTAACAAAAAAAAATATAGCTGGAAAATATCAACGGTGATGTTGTTGTATTTGGGCTCGCCCAGAAAAGGGAATTACCTTAATTGAGTCGTGATGTGGCAATTAATTTAGAAAATTGGCTCTTACGTTCAATTTAGAATCTATTTGGTGAGATCAAAGTGTGAATGTAAACATTCCCACCGTCGCGGCGCTCCATTATCCCCACTTGTTTCCATTCTATAGCTGATCTTCGATATCTGAGCTTTAGTAATGACATGAGAGCCGCGAGACGCGAAATGTCTTCTGTTCGATTCATCTTTGCTGCAATCCTTCTATCTTTGACTGAATGTGCCATCTACGATAATAGCAGATTGAAAGCACCTAAATGCTGTCCACAGTTCGAGAGCCTCAAAGAAACCAATGGGAATTTCACCTGCGAACCGTTCTTGCAAAATAATCAGATAGTATCAACTTATATCAATTTCGCAGACTGCGTTGGGAAGTGCGTTGATTTTACCACGAACGGAACGTTAGTGACATTTGATTGTAACGAGAGGAAAGTGCAGGAGGAAAGCGATTACATCCAGTTTCCGAAATGCTGTTCCTATGGACATGATTACAATAGCGAGAATCACGGTTGTGATAAAAGCACTAAACCATTGAAAACCCATTTCGAATTACTTAAAGTTAGTATGAGCCAGTGTCCTATACACACGCACGCAATTGTTGATTATATCACCGATGAAGACAAGATTGATTACCAGACCGACTACTCTATAAGATTCAATAGATCACAATACTTCCAGAAAGACTCTTATTGTCTTGATTTCACAACTAATGGTAAAGCTGTAGTCAGATCCTGCGAGAAAGTTGAAGATGTTTGCTCGATTTACAAGGAAAATGGTATACAGTGCATTAGAAAATGCTGCGTCGATGGCGAGTTTTACTTGGGACCCAGGTGCAAAGCTGCACCCTCTTACAAATTCGTTCCAGCATACACAGGAATTCACAAGAAATACGCCCTTATCCAATCGCCTAAGACTAAAAAAATATTGCTGGACGATGAAGAAATTCTCAATATCGATTCGCACGGAAGCATAAAGTCAATAAGTGATAAAAACGTCATTTTTTTGGATGTCAGTAAACCATCATATTGCTTTGAAACACTAGGAGACAAGAGAACTTTGGTCTTTAAATACGTCGTTCACGATCATTCTCAAGACATAAACTTTAGGATCAATTCGATTTTCTTGGGAATTTCCTGCGTTTTTCTTTCGCTAACTATAATTGGTTTTATTATATTGCCGAATCTGATGAACAAGTTTGGATTCCTGATATTGTGCTACTGTCTGATTACACTCGCCGGATTCTTAAGCATGGAAATCTCCATCAATGTTAACGTTAAGGAGATATGTGTCCTTATGGGTATGTTTTGATTTATTTCCGTGTATCTCTTTTCATGCATTTTTTTTCTTCTCTTATGCAATAAGAGAGAATTGCATATGATAATTTTGGGATTCCCATTCAAGATCATTTAAAATAAACAGAAATCTGACAGAGATTCCTCCTTAACCGCAATCTCAAAACTGGTTTAAATGATCTACAAAATACATATAATTAAACTATCATATTACTTTTATAAAGTAATATACATTTACAAAATACAGATTGATGTTTCAATAATTAAGTATAATATTTATTTATTCTAATGTATTTTATATATTCTAAAACAATTATATAATATTTTTACAAATACTATCAAATAGCAATTATTCTAATAGTGCGGATTCTCTATATTGATGATGATATTCCAAACTATATAAAAAAATGTAATCAATATATGAAAAATCGTATTATTTGTTGTATTATCAATTTCGATATATTAGTCATATTAATTCCAAAAAGTTCATAATCATTTATATTTGTGATAAATGTTAATGCACTTTACAAAATTGGTATTACATTATGAATGAAATAGTTGCATTTCAAAATCAGCAAGCTATCAAGTTAAAGAATGGCTCTAGGAGTGGTCTCTAAATGCGTGATCCGGCATCATGAAACGAAGGTCAAAGTCAGAAATTACTTGAATTATTGAACTGTTATTATTTTGAAATGATGATGATACAACACACAATTTACTATTTATTTTAATTGTTATTAAGAAATATATTTTTAATTAAATTAATTAATTTCAATATTAATTGTGTATTGCTAATTAACAAGTCAACTGATGCGTCACTCAAATGTAGTAAAATTTCGATTAACTTTAAAAAGTTTAATGTTAAAATTATTTTGAATGAAATGATCTGAGATAATTATGTCAATTAAACTAAATAATACATGAATTATTTAGACAAATAAAATACAAAAATGTCGATTTTGATTTAATTTTTTGAAATCTTTTGGAGTATTTTAAAAAAATATTTCATGAAAATTAAATGAAAATCTGATCATTTCTATTCTGAAAGACTCTTTAAGTCTTATTCAAATGTAATGTAATGGCAAAGAATAGATAAAGTAAAAAGTGTAATTATACAAAACAACGTTATAAATTAGTTAAATGTATATAATTATTATTGTAAATACATTTAAGTTGCAATCTATGAGTATAAGGATACATTAACAATGACCTATAACACATTGGAGTATAGAAAAATAAAAATGAATCCTGCATTGAAAATAACAATATTTTTACTAAGTCGTGCATACAAACAAGGACGATGCGGTTATAAAAGCCACTATCGAAACATATTTATGACTATACAATTATGATTGTTACTAAGCTAAACAGACTTTAATTAACGTGTACGTCCATGTATGCATTGCGAAGAGAAAATGGGAGTAAAAGGTGATTCCCTAATATAAACACGAACAAAAATTGGTTTATCCAAGCTGGACGGAAGTTTGTATAATGCCGAGGTTGGTCAAAGTGTACGAAGAGAGGAAAAAAAAACGCGTGTTTACTGTCAACGTTGTTAGATCATCCCATGCGGAGTTTTAACCCAAATTTACTTTATTTGTTTTCCTTGCGAACAGCGAATGATTAATTACATTAGGGCATACCGTTTTTATATATATATTTTAAACTCTCAAACGCTTTTGTTTAATATAGAAATAGCTATGACAATATTTTCGTATTCTATTTTTCTTCACTTGCTCTGGAAAATGTAAATATAATATCACCATATTATATACAATGATATAATAATACGTTTCTAGAACGGCTGCGAGTGTGTGATTCAACGGCGGATTATAATTTGATACAAATTTGTTTCAGGTTTCATTATCATGTTCACTTTCCTGGGATCCTTCACCTGGTTGAACATTATTTGCTTCGATATGTACATGGCCTTTGGGTAAGTTTAACTCAGCAATCTAATTATAAGTA